CATATATACGATGGAATATTATTACTCAGCCATAAAAAAGAATGAAATAATGCTATTTGCAGCAACATGGATGGAACTAGACATTATCATACTAAGTGAAGAAAGTCAGACAGAGAAAGAGAAATAGCATATGATATCACTCATATGTGGAATCTAATTTAAAAAGATACAAATGAACATATTTACACAACAGAAATAGATTTACAGATACCAAAAACAAACTTACAGTCACCAAAGGGGAAACGAGGCGGGGAGGGATAAATCAGGAGCTTGGGATGAACATACACACACTACTATATATAAGGTAGATTTAACCAACAAGGACCTACTGTATAGCACAGGGAAGTCTACTCAATATTCTGCGATAACCTATATGAGAAAAGAATCTAAAAAAGAATGACTATATGTATATGTATAACTGAATCACTTTGCTGTCCACCTGAAACTAACACAACATTGTAAATCAACTATAGTCCAATAAAATTAAAATATGAAAAAAAGAAACAGAAATCCTATTTTAATATTTTATAATGAACTATTACTAGTCCTAGCAAATAAATATTTTAAAAAAAAAAGCCTCTAAGTTTGTGATAATTTGTTATGCAGCAATAACACCAATAATACTACTAATAAATACTAACCACAAAAATTTAAAATAAATAATAAATAAAATAAATAATAATAAAATAAAAAATAAAATACTAATAAGCAAATACAATGGTAGTCCACTTAAAGATAAGTTAGGATTTTTTTTTTGTCTCCTCCTTTCCTGCCTTTCTCCAAAGCTTTAATCCATTTCCCCACCATGTAGTTATTTCATTGACTATAACTAGAAAATACCATTTTGTCAGATTAAAAGCTCCTCTCATACCACTTACTTATTAGAGTTATGTCTTTCTTCCCCCACTCACAGTTAATTTGAGATGCAGAGATATATGCATCTTGGGTATATTATATACATGTTTAGGGCTGGAGGATCAAACCAGAAAATACAGATCTTGAGAATTAAGGCAAATAATCTGTGTTCTGACGTAACTGAGATATATTTCATTCATTGTAGCTACTTATCTTGAAACACAGCAAGCTTGACATAATGGCTGAAGAAAAAAGAGAAGCAATGTAAGCATAAATGTCTGAACATTTTAATATCTTTTTTCGATAAACATTACTAGAATGCCATGCATTTGGATCCATGTTTTTCCTGAGGAAAACCTGCATTCTATCTTCTGCTTCCTGATACTGCAGCTGGATCCTATTATAAGGGTAGGACACAACATGGGAAGCATGCCTAAACTTTTAAAGCTACAAAACAAAAGCTAATCTTCATTAATTAGATGTCTAGATTATGCAGATTGACCACTGTACTATTATATGTAACATGGTGAAAAACGCTATTATATGGTTTGTTGATAGTTCCACGCAGGTAATTTATCTAAGCCTTATTTATAAAGATATTGTATTAACCACAAAGGCAGAATTTGGTGTCAGGTAAAAAAATCAGATCAAACTGTGACTGTGGTTGATGGCTGAGAGAATGCTTTACAACAAAGGCAAATGAGAATGCAATATGATGTCTTTCTAACATTTAATTCAAGAAAAATTTCATCTCCAGCACAGCTTAACCTAGAGCTACTACATAATGCAGATATAAGTGAAAGTATTAACAAGTCAATGATTTATAACTAAGACCCATATTCTCTGCCTTTGTGAAAACCATGGAATTGGATTAAGAGAGAAGCCGCCTAATTTTAGATTTAAGCAAATGTGGACAATGGATTCTTAGAATAAAGGGTAAGTCTGAGCATCACAAACCCTCACCTGATTAATGATTAGCTGTTTTAGTAAAAAGGAAGAACTTACGAAAAAATACTCATAGTCCATAATGTGGAAAAACTTCAAGATCTGGGAATCCAGGTAAATCATGACTTTGTTTTTACCAACTTTAACCAAAGTCTTCCCAGGTGCTAAAGTCAGTACTAGAGAAAAGCTATCACAAAACTATTCTGTTAAGTAATGATCATCTTTGCTTCAACTTCTTATACCTGTGTCTATCCATGCCATCTATGTAATTATGTTGAGGGAAAACACTCCAAGCTCAAAAGAAGTGAACAACTTCAGTTTCTGCTCACACGGACCTTGTCAAGTAGCCAATGACTTGTCCTTTCGTTGTGAGTGACTAATATCAATGCTGGCTCTAAAGAAAGACACTTTTCATAATCGCCCAACAATCTGCTAAGTGAAAACATATGAATGGGCTTAGGCAAAGCCTGCCAGGGGTCTTTGCTGAATGGAAAACAGGCGCTCTCATTCTGTGCCACGTAATACCCCATTTACCCCCAAGCCCAAAGGTTACAGGACTAATAGCTGCCTTGTGGTAATCAGGGAAAGCCAAGACACTAGCCCTGGTGAAACATCTGGGACGTATTTTACATACTTGCAACATATGCTTCAGGTTCAATTAAAGTGAGGCTTTGGCACATTTATTAATCTTTTTTACTTTTATCCTATAAGAGGACCCACTGACCTGACCCCACTATTATACCATATGAGAAAACAGAGAAATAATGAGAGCTAGAGGTCAGTACCTGCTCGTATGGCAAAAAACACACTTGTTTTCTCATGAAACTCCATTACTCATGACTCTATACACAAACTTTAAATGGAGGAACCAATGAATTTTTTAAAGGAGGAAATTACCCTTCTCCCACTCAGACACATCTGATAGCCAAGACTTAGATTTACCACTGCGAGAGCCAGTCGAGAGACGGAAACTGGTAAATAGAAACTTGAAGGATCCTTTCATGTTTTCATTTCTTATATTAAAAACTTTGTATTTCCAGAATATAAGCTTTCCACTCTAAGACTCTTCCCTCTATGATGCAAGTCCCTAAAAGTCTATTGTAAATGATTACATTTGAAATTTTATTTTTGTTCAATATGATTTTTATACTATCAATTGCGTTATGAGTGAAGAAAAGCAAAACCTTCTTATATATCACTCAAATAAAGGGCTGGATTTATGAAAATCAGCTCACAATCCTTTCATATGGAAAACACACCGTTTGTCGGCATCCTGTACAGAAGAATACAGTTAAATTCACACAGTCATTTAAGCGCTCGCTTTCAATCAACTTTGGTAACGAGACCTGAAAATACGTTAGAACCAGGGTGTCGATCTCAGACAACCAAACACTGGATAACAACAGATGCCACTCCAGAGATCTGGGGTTGTTTCCACCCTGGCATGTTCTACTTGACATCTATGTTTTGGTGAACTGGTTAACCAGGTTGTGCTAACGTCTAACAGTGCGCCACTCCTAACACCCTCTCTATTAAAAGATGACCAAAAAGGGAGATTAGTGGTATAGAATATCAACAAACTGGCTAAAAAAAATATAGGTTGACTTCAAGCAGGGGCACTGAAGTACTAGACTTCACCAAGGGTTTCCACTTACTAACATTTCTCGGGAAACGCCTGCTACCAGAATGGACCTTTAAGGTGGCTTTAATAATAAAGCAGCAACAAGCAAGGGAAAGTGGCCATAAATGGATGGCAGCTCAGCGTTTATCAGCAGAGAAATGATGATTCAGAGCTGGCATGTTGAGTTTAAATACAAGCTCTCTACAGCTCTACAACTGACCTTAACAATAAATCATATCATTTATTGCCAGAAGTGTATGCTCATGTTATTCAACATTAAAAACAAGCACATATGTGTTTTTGCAGAAAGGAGATTTTGTTACTTTGTTTGATGATGTTGCTAATGACTAAATGATGTCCAGAAGAAAAATCTCACATAAAATCTCTATGAATTTAAAAATGTTTGAAATAGCAGTAGAAGGGAGAAAGTGTGTGTGCGTGTATGTTTCTGTTTTCCTTCCAGAATTGAATATGTCAGGGAAAAAATCATTTGGGAAGTTAACTAATCACTGTGAATTGTTTTGACATTTCCAATGCTTGCTTCCAGCACTCAAATTCTTATACTGGGATATAAGTGTACATCTCTACTGGAATCAAAGGTCAAGGGCATAAATTAAGATACACTGTTTTTCTCCTTTCTTTAAAACATTTCAGTGCTTTACTATAGCAGAAGTCAGATAGATTCCATGAAGGTCAAAATCTGGTTTTATAGGCTGAACAATGTGGAAATAATGAATGATATTTTCACTCCCCCCTCAGTCACTCCCCCCCTCTATCACACCCTAAGACTTTTTGGATTTTATATCTAGAAGTGCCCAAAGATGATGATAAACCAGCATCACTAGCCTCCTTGCCATAGAAAGCTGTCCTTCCGACCTCAGCCACTGCTGCAGTGGTGCAAGGCCATTCTGATTCCTCCTTCCAGTTGTCCGCTCTCCCCAGGGGACAACCAATCCAAGCAGTCCCAGAAACTAGCTGTTATTTACTGTGGCCACCAACCCCAAGCCAACCAGCAATCGAAACACGAGCCTCTCTGAACAGACTTTCCTGACCAAGGAGCCACGGGCCATTCCAAGTCTAAGCCAGGGCAGTGAGCACTGGGATTATTTAAGTGCCCTCTGGAGCCCTCCGCACACGTGTTCTTTTGCTGAGCAATTCTTGGAAAATTACAGATGACAATATCCATGTTTTACACATGCAGGCTGCTATTTTTTTTCACTCCTCTCTTCCCCCCAAGTGTAGCCTGATTTGTAATACTCAAGATAGGACAAATTTTTGCCCTTCAAAAACAGTTGTCACTGTCGTTATCTTCGTGAGAGCTATCAAGTTCCAGACAAGCTGAATTATTTTTTTTTGTTCCTGGCAGAAAAATATTTGACCCAGCTCTGGACAAAAGCGAAGACGATTTATAGCCCTCTCTCCCTCTTTGCAACATGCAGTGGCATTGTTAGGATGATAAACAGCACTGTCCAATTTTCTGGACTCAAACACTTCAACTCCTTTTTAACTGTCTGTGAAAACAGTGTCATGTCTACATTTCCCCATCCCCAGGTACCCAAGCGCTGGGAAAGATAATTACCTTGTCATCTTTGTCATCTTCTTCTTCCTCGTCCTCTAGCATGTCCTCCACTACCTGCAGACAGAAACAGAAGTCGTTTTCATGCTCTTAAAGGAGAGAATTTTGTTCTGTCATTTTGAACCTTTTAGAAGTGAAAACTTTATTAACATTTGAAACAGACGCACTGAGAGGGAATATCTGATCTAGAGACAGGGATTAGGAAAATGCTATGCCTTTAATTGATGAACACCAGGGAACTGAATCCCAGTCAGGGGAACCCTATTTGTGTGAAATGTTCTGTGACAATTTAAAGAATTGGAAATATGCATAAGGTAAACTAACACTCATTCGAAGGATGCTTTAAATCAGGAGATTTCTTTTTTTACCTACTCCACTGTCTATATTAATTAGGCACTTTAAATTTGGAGCTAGATAACTAAGCAGAAAAGAGCTCTGCTATTTCTAATTTACTTGTCACCAAACCCTAAGATAAAAATCTATGCCTGTTCATGGATTCATGCTGGGAGCTATGGCATAAAGCTAACAATATCTTTCATGGCTCCAATTTTAATTCTGACATATAGTGTCAACTCTTGACCATCTCTGAATTACTTGTTCATTTTGTGGATTACCTGAAACTCTAATTCTTTTAATTAGAGTTCTTTTAATTCTTTTAATTCTCTGTGATTTTACACATGGATTATGTTATGAGAATGAACATTACTACTGAAAGAAAAGAAGAGATGTATTCAATAATCAAATGTGTATATTATGTATATAGAACCCATGTAGATAGATATGCATGCATGTATTTTTTAATGGCTCCTGGTTTACCTACTTCAGCAGAATGGTATAGTCATTTTGGATTTGCCAAGTAATTTCCCCTTGCCTGGATCAATATATAACTACAGGCATTACAAATGAGACCTCACCCCATTTCAGGTGTTTTATCATGTTTTTATACACACACACTCCATGGAATCCAAAAATTTAAAAACTCTGGGGGGAGCTCTTATTCAGGTAAGTGCTAACTTATAACTGTATTTACTCCATTTGATATAATTTCTTGTGGTGCTTCTATTTTTTTATCCAGTATCTTTATCTCTGAATAAACTCGACAGAATCATGGTTATCAAATATTTTTAAACCTTTCTCCCAAAGCTCCTAACTTTAGAAGACAGAGATAGCTAGCTCTTCTTTCATGTGGCTTTAGGATAGAGACAGGAATATGCTATGAATGAAAACTTCAGTAACTAAGACTTACTAAACAAAGAGTTACATAAACTGAGATAATACGTCAGGACACTCAGTTATCCTAATAATTTTTCTCAAAGTTTCTAAAAGCATTAACGGATTTAAAAGAAGAACCCAAACACAAACTTCTAGTTCTCACGAACTGATATATAACTAAAAGTATCTGACAAACTGGGAAATTGTTCTTAATTTAATGTCATACTTTAAATCTTCTATTAAGTGGTAGAATCTGGTGGTCTTTCATTTGGACACTCAGCATTTCAAAAGAATCAGAGTAGCACAATGTTCTGTTTCCTTTATCGGGTTAGAGTTTACGCTGATTTTGGGGACATATAAAGTAGCTCAGCCTCAGCAAGAAAGGACTCTTGACATTCTAACTATACTCAGATACTCCATAAGCATTTATTACAAATGCCCTTGACCAAGGCACACAGTACTAGGGACTGTGGGAATAGAAAGATGAATAATACACATATACTTAATCTATAGTCATGTCAGCCCACAAGAGGCTTATAATCCAATAGAATTTAAATGGGGGCTATCAGATAGCCTTTCATGTTGACTTTTAACTTCCTGAAAATTTGAAGCATGCATATCATAAATATATAGACAACAATAGTGACAATGTATAACTGAGGTGCTGTATGCCAGACTATTCCAAACTGGGACCTTTGTGATGGAGGTTGAAATAGGAGAGGCAGTCACAATATTTCAGTACATTGTGTTGCATCAAAAGAATTCACTTAACACAGCAAGTAGCTAAACTAGAACTCAGACCCAGATTGTGGGATAGCACAGCCAGCTCTGAAACCAAAAAAAAAAAAAAAAAGGGAAAAAAGGAAAAGCAAAACAAAAAAACGATTGACCTCTCACATGATTTTTTTAATGATCATACTTTTTGTATCTCTTATAAAATGGTGTTATAAATTTTAGATTTATATTAAGTAACATTTTAAGGTTGTCATTATCTATTTCTAAAAAATAAAAATTATATATATTCCAGGTATACAATATGATTATTTGATATGTATTAGATTAAGTAATTTTTTCCTAAAATTACTCATGTAGACTCATATATCAAATATGGAAAGTGAAATGAATATTATACTTTTATTCTTATACATAAAAATCAAACAATATTTTAGGTGGTTATTGTTAAGAATGTATTATGTATCTCTCCTCTTCAGTACTTACCATCGTACTACAGTGCAAGGAAGGCAGAATGGTTTCAGACTGTGCCTAGCAGTTCATAATAAGTATTCAAGAAATATTTGTTGATAGACTGAACAGAAGAAAATCTCATCTATGCTTCATATCTTTGAACATGCATTTTGGTAGAGGGCCTATCATTGATCTCACAGACCTCAACTAGCTCACCTGCAAAGACATACCTCCTAATCAATGATGCAGATTAATGAATCAAATATTCAAACTGTGCCTGGCAATAGAAAGCATGGATATTTAACTGTTACTTTAAGATTTGGAGATCTCCACTATCTTTAAGTTAATTTTCAAAGATTCAAAATATTATTGAACCATAAAAAAAACAAGAAGTTAATGTATGCATTTCACAAATCAGTTGCAGATCTTATGTTCAAGAAGGACTCAAAAGGTCTACAGAATCAGGCTCTTCATTTGCAAAACCCAAACTGTTCCCACCCTGCACAAGTGGGTAATTGGCTACGCACAACTGCCCCACAAATGCGCAGCCAGAATCACCCAAACACAACTATTTGCTTTTACATTTGGCAGAAAAGTGTTGTGTTAGCGAGAGGCCTTTGTGTTGTGTTGTAGCACCCGAGTGAGGGCTTTTCCCCTCCTCCAGTGACTTTTTAACGCTACAGCATAAACATCTACAAGTGAGGATTTATAATACAGATGGTTTCCTAGTGATGCCTTTAAGCTGCTTCAGAATGTATCCCACTGTTACAGTTTGCTCAGATGAAGCTTAAGGTGCCTTGGAAAATGGAGATGATAATAGCACCTTCCCCACAGTGTTGATTAGGGGTCCAATGAGACAATGTGTTTAAAGTGTTCAGCACAGTTCCTGTACCGAAGTACTAAAAAATGTGAGCTACTAATAAAAGTAGAAATAACATCAATTTAATAATATTTAAACATTAATTTTTGGAAATTAAATGATATATATATATTTTTTCCTGGGCAAAATATTCAGGGTTCTGAACGACATACACAATTCTGGTTGTTTCACTGACACTAAGGAACATATAAAGGGGCACAGGTAGAGTGGTGGATAAAGATTCCCAATTAAAATGATAATGGTTTCACAACTAATTTTCAGGCTTTAAGGGTCCAATGAAATGGATGGCTTTAAAGGCAACAGTGTCTCAGAAGCTGGGCTGTGCTCTAAGACATAAGCCCTGGGCAAATACAATGAATACAGAAACTGCAAACTGAGCTTTTAAAAACAAACTGTATATATCACTGAAGTGCATTTAAGGATTGCACAAAATTGCAACCTTTCCCAGAGAACTCAAGTAACACCTACTATTTAGAAAGAGTGCTGGAGTTTAACACTTAACTAAGGAAACAAATAAAATAAAGGAGTCCCAGTCTCAAATTCCAGCTCTTTCCTCTTCAAATAAAACCAAATAAGGGCTACATAGTTTTGTTTTCAAGTATACAAAGTCCAGTTGCCCAAACATTTGTCAGCAATAATTTAATAACAACACATCTGTAGGATTTCCTTGAGGAAAAAAAAAAATGAAGAGTGACAAAAATGCATGTGTTAGAAAAGATACATTTTTACAAAGTTGGGGTTTTTTTCCTCTTTTTGTAAGGGAGAATATCTCAGATTGGCCCTAGAATTCTTTATCCAAATTATGCTTTCTGATACCTTGCTTGAAAGCAAGTAGTATTAATCAAACAAAAGAAGGGCACTAGGGAAATCAGAAAGATGTAATGCAAGCAGTTAAAAGTGACATGACCTTCTGTAATGTCGCCCGTCACAGACTTATATGCCACACACTGGAGGAAGGTCTTGAAAGAAACTGATTCTTGGTACTATTCCTTGAATGTAATACTAATAAAGATGACATTTTAAAAAACACACGTAGACAGCCCCAAATGCAGCGTTCCAGCTACATTACAGCCAAAGAATAAGCAGATAACACTATTTTTAGAAGCATAATATTTCTTCTTTCATAGTCCACATTTGCTGAACATTCGTCATTAACATATACAATATAATATGTAGCTGTATATTTTAAAAATCCATTATCAAAATGGAGCAAAACTGCATCTGAAGAATCTGTATGTTTTATACAGTTGTATAGGAGGTCTATTAATATTATGACTTTTAATTATAATTTGACACAACTAAATGCTTTATGATTTGCAAGGAAATAAAATTTTATTTGGCTGAAAATGTTAAAAATGATGCTGGTAATCTGAACAAAAATATGACAATATGTTTAGAATTACTCCACTAGACAAAGATGTATAAGGGAGGGAACCAACAGGATGCAGAAAAGGCAGACCAAAACAGTAAAAGGATGAGGAAAAGTAGATTCGGGTAAACTTCACTATTAAAATCATAACGGGACAGTGGATACTGAGTCCCGCTTTTTAATACTAATTTAGGGTGCATGTTTGAAAGCTAAAATGACAAAAGGGGGTTAAAAGTTCCATGAATAATTCTTAAAACACTTTGTATTATGATTTTCCCAGGGCTAAAGTCTTCCACTTATTTATATGTCTTTAAACAAAAAGGGAAAAATCTTGGTTATGTTACCTTTGTAAGATAAGTATTGAGTACCACAAAGCCAAAAACCCTGGAAAGCCAACGCTGACACAAACCA